CCTCAGCACTAGCGTTTAGTGCGACACCAACGCCAGCAAGACCAGACGAAGATGCCACAGGGTCTCCGGATAAACGCACGTAATACAAGCTTTTCGAAGCGACAGATGAAGAGCGAATTTGTAGTACTTCGCCAGAGTCTTGAATACGGGTCTCGGACAGACAGCAATCATCGATATTAAGACTTTCTAAAGACATAGTCAGCCCTATTTGTTGTCCGACCTGCATAAGTGTGCGAACGTTGAAGGCAGCCAGTTTGAATGGCGCACGTGGTTTCAGAAAAACTGCTTCAGTCCTCGTATTCGATGGTAACATACAATTTTCAACCGGACAGTGACTCGAGAACGTTTAGATACAGTCGGATTTCCACCAAAGACGAGCCGCTGTATAAGTATAAAAGAGGGTGAATAATGTGGAAAATAATAATAATGATAATAATAATAATAATAATGTCAATAATAGTAATAATAATAATAATAATAATAGTATTAATAATGACAATAATTGTAATGATAATAATCTGGATCAATTGTTTGTTTTTCAAAGCGAGAAAGGTAATTTCCATAGGCATAAAGAGTTCATCAATTCGTGTGTGGGCTGTGATACTGCCCGGGTGCCCAAACCGAAGCAGGTGGTTTTCTTAGCGGGCCACACCCCGACCCTTTGATCTAAAGGTCTGATCCACAAGGCAGTGGAGCATCGTAAGGAGATGCAGTCCCATGGTAGCCGGTGACCAACGATTGGTTCATACGCCATTTGTTCCCGCAGGATACTGGAGCCCATGTGCACCATTGATTTGGAATCCGGTTAAAGCGCCGGACATTTGCTTTTCGTTCTCTCATTTTCGTAAACAACACCCCCGCCACGAGAAGGCAATTAGTAGGAAATCCCTGGCAGAGGCTGTATACGCGTGGCCGTGTGAGAGTATTGCGAAACTTCATGTTTAAGTAAGGCATTTAAAATCGACTGGTGAGGTAGTGAATTTTCATCAACTGAGGTGATTAAAACACATGCACAATCACTACCTACTTCGACTCATGATAGTGGGTGGTGTAGGGTTAGGTTTGAAGAATGCTAAAGGTTACTTACTTACGCCTGTTACTCCCAATGGAGCATAGGCCGCCGACCAGCATTCTCCAACCCTCTCTGTCCTGGGCCTTCTTTTGTAGTTTCATCCAATTCTTGCTCATTTTTCTCATGTCTATTTCCATTTCCCGGCGTAATGTGTTCTTTGGTCTTCCTCTTTTCCGTTGGCCTTGAGGATTCCATGTGAGGGCTTGTCTTGTGCCGCAGTTGGGTGCTTTTTTCAATGTGTGTTCTATCCACTTCCAGCGCTTCTTCCTGATTTCTTCCTCCGCTGGGATCTGGTTTGTTCTCTCCCACAGTACGTTGTTGCTAATAGTGTCCGGCCAACGGATCTGAAGTATTTTAAGTAGACAACTGTTAATCAACACCTGTATTTTCTGGATGATGGCTTTCGTAGTTCTCCAGGTTTCTGCCCCATACAGTAGAACTGTCTTGACATTTGTATTGAAAATCCTGACCTTGGTGTTGTTTGACAGTTGTTTTGAGTTCCAAATGTTCTTCAGTTGTAAATATGCTGCTCTTGCTTTGCCGATCCGCGCCTTCACATTTGCATCAGATCCACCTTGTTCATCAATGATGCTGCCCGGATATGTAAAGGTTTTTACATCTTCCAAATCTTCTCCGTCAATTGTGATTGGATTGGTGCATGCAGTGTTGTATCGGAGAATCCTGCTTTTCCATTTGTGTATATTGAGACCTACTGCTGCTGAGGCTGCTGCCACACTGTTCGTCTTCTCCTGCATCTGTTGTTTCGTTTGGGATAGAAAAGCCAGATCATCTGCGAAGTCTAGATCGTCCAACTGCATCCTAGATGTCCATTGTATCCCGTGTTTCCCTTCAGATGTTGACGTCTTCATGATCCAGTTGATCACCAGGAGAAAGAAAAAGGGTGAGAGTAAGCAACCTTGCCTAACACCGGTCTTCACTTCGAACGACTTTGTCAACTGTCCTCCATGCACGATTTCGCAGTGTAATCCATCATATGAACTCTGTATGATATTGACTATCTTCTGAGGCACGCCGTAGTGTCGAAGAAGTTTCCATGGTGTTGTTCTTTCCACGTTATCAAATGCCTTTTCGTAGTCAATGAAGTTGATGTAGAGTGATGAATTCCATTCAATTGATTGTTCCACAATGATTCGTAGAGTTGCGATTTGGTCTGTACACGATCTATCCCTACGGAATCCTGCCTGTTGGTCTCGAAGCTGAGCGTCTACGGAGCCCTTCATCCTGTTTAACAATACCCTGTTGAAGACTTTTCCCGGTATTGAAAGAAGAGTGATGCCCCCGTAGTTATCACACTTGCTGAGATCGCCTTTCTTCGGTATTTTGATCAGGAGTCCTTTCCAGTCTTTTGGTACTTGTTCCTCATCCAAAATCTTATTGAAGAGAGCGTGGAGTATCCTTGCAGTTGCCACTACGTCTGCTTTTAGTGCCTCTGCTGGAATGTTGTCTGGTCCTGCTGCTTTGCCACTCTTGATTTGTCTGATGGCCATGCTGATTTCTTCAATTGTTGGTGAGCCAACATTGATTGGGAGGTCCGTGGGTGCTGCTTCGATGTTGGGTGGGTTCAGTGGAGCTGGTCGTTTCAAGAGTTCTTTGAAGTGTTTTACCCACCTGTTTTGTTGCTCTTCAATGTTGGTGATTACCTTGCCTTCCTTGCTTTTCACTGGTCGTTCTGGTTTGCGGCGATTTCCAGAGGGTTTCTTTGTCGTGTCATACAGTTGTCTCATGTTTCCTTCACTTGCAGCCTTTTCCGCCGTCGTTTCTAAATCTTCCACATATTTACGTTTGTCGGTTCTGATGCTCCTCTTCACTTGTTTGTTTACTTCTGTGTATTCAGCTTGTGCCTTGGCTTTTTCTGCTCTTGTTCGACTGGTATTGATTGCTGCCTTCTTGTTCCTCCTTTCTTGAATCTTATCCAGTGTATCAACAGTGATCCATTCCTTGTGGTGGTGCTTCTTGTGACCCAGGACCTCATGACATGTTGAAGTGATTGCCTCTTTTATCCCCTTCCAGTTGCTCTCCACAGTAGTTCCTTCTCCAATGAGTAGATCATGAAAGGCCTGGAACTTGTTGCTGAGGACTATCGTGAATTTGTTGAGTTTGTCAGTATCCCGAAGAAAGGCCGTATTGAACTTTTGTGATATTGTCCGCCCCGTTGTCGAGTGCTTCTTGAGTTTCAATTTCATCTTGGCGACCAGCAAGTGATGATCTGATGCTATATCAGCTCCTCTCTTGGTTCTCACGTCCTCTATAGTCCTCCTGAACGTTTTGTTGATGCAAATATGGTCGTTTTATTTTTGCGTGGTGTGATCCGGTGAAGTCCATGTGGTTTTGTGTATGCGTTTATGTGGGAATATGGTGCCGCCTATGACCAGCTTATTGAAGGCACATAGATTTGCAAATCTCTCACCATTTTCGTTCCTTTCTCCCAGTCCGTGTCGTCCCATGATGTCTTCATATCCAGTGTTGTCCGTTCCAACCTTAGCATTGAAATCTCCCATCAGAATGGTCAGGTCCTTTGTTGGGCACTTCTCGATGATTGACTGCAGCCTATTGTAGAGTTGATCTTTAGCGTCTTCATTGTAATCGTTGGTAGACGCATAGCATTGGATGATGTTCATTGAAATGCCCTCTTTCTTTGTTTTAAAGGAAGCTTTGATGATCCTTGGTCCATGAGATTCCCATCCTATAAGTGCATTTTGTGCTTGTTTGGACAGCATCAATGCAACTCCTTGTGTATGTGTAGCATTTTCTTCTTCATGGCCGGAGTATAACAGGAGTTCTCCTGAAATTAGTCGTTGTTGTCCAACTTGCGTCCAATGTGTTTCACTGATCCCAATTACCTCTAGGATGTATCTTCTCATTTCTGAAGCAATTTGGAAGGCTCTCGCGGTGTCCCACATTGTACGAACATTCCATGTACCTAAATAAATGGTTGCTCTGGTTGTCAGAAGGAGCATCGGCCTCGTGGCTTCCGAAGGAATTCGGCTTTCATCATGAGGCGTCATAGTTCTTCTAAACGAAGACTTTCTGACTCCCGGGGCAGAGTTTAAGTGGTTTGAATATTTTTTTCTGGTTAGCGTTTTTTAGCGAGTTAGTTTTCTACGGGATGGGGACGCTAACCCCATGCCCAACCCTCTTCCTTTATCCGGGCTTGGGACCGGCAGTAGTCCCCGGAGGGACTTCAGGCAGAGTTAATGCTAAAAGTAGTCAACTAAAAATGTACCATCAGTTCATGAATTCGTTGACTGTTGAACTGAGTCGTGTTATTAGGGGCAAACTACCTGGTTGGGATGCGCATGATTATTGTATCTAGTGGTTGGAGATGTTGGGTGACATAGCTCAGAGAACGTTCGCACTAAGATAGATGCATTCACTTTTTGCTTTACTCTACATATCGACTTTTATAATTGTTTTATACATTTTATTCCACTGATTCTTCTCGAATCACATTGCGTATATCTAGTTTTTTTTCTATTACTGATGTTACTACTTTTGCTGCTCTGCTTTTTGTTTTGGCAGTTTCATGCCGCTTTTGTGATACGGTGTAGCAACTTGAAGTGATCCCCACATGTGCCAAATTCTACGTTGCTTATGACTAACTGACTGACTTTTAGCTGTCTTATATTTTTGATTCATAACCTCAGTCGGTCAATCAAATGCAACATGGAACTGGAACCTGGCACCCATGTACATCGGTTCAAGTTGCCATACTCCATTAGCACAGCGAAATTAAACTTTCAGGACAAATCGCAGAATAGTAGAGGTAGTAACAATATTAATGCTATTAGATCATAACTTAGTTTGTAGTTATATCCGTAGTGCTTTCCGAGTTGCATTACTCATATATTTAATGCACATTGACCAAAATAAAAATTTATAATTAAAAAAATGCCTTTTTTAAAATTAGGCGGTGATATGTGCAATTAAACAGGCACACATTGGTGGTATTACTCATTTGGGAATAGTTACTGATAGTAAATTCGCTCAAAACTGTGCAACAGAATGGGGTCAACGATGGGCGCGAAATGCTTGGAAATTAGCCAATGGTGAAGATGCTAAATTAAAAGAACCAGTTAAACGATTACTTGGAGTTATCGCTGAATCAGGAATTGAAATAATTTGGGTAAATTGTTTTGCTTTTTAGTGTGGATTCGCTTTCTTCCTCTTAACATAATTATGAAGTAATCGTGTTATAGACTATAGCGTTATATCATTTATTGAGTAATATGGATAATCTTGTGTATCTTTTATCATTTACTATCTTTGTCAGTGTTTGTGGGAATAATCAGCACCAACTATTTGATATGTCGGATCGTACTACTGTTGATGTTACCATTGTTTATATTTATCCAGTTGATCCCATCGATTTTTATCTCGTAAAAGTTATTCATGTGATATTTGAAAACAGATAATATGTTTTTAGTGCTTACAGAAAGGCTGTATATGACCAAACTCACGTAGTTTTTATTTGAGCTCTGAGGTTAAGCTCCCAGGTCGTTAAGATCACCTCTAACCCAGTTTCTATTTCAGATACTCATCATGGTATTGCCATTGGGGCTTATAGCGCCTCTGTTACACCTTTGTTTACGTTTAGTTTTGCCAAGTCCTTCACTTAAATAACAGATAGTGCTATTCGAATAGTAACAGTTTGATATCTTGGTATTATTATTATTATCACGTCTGTGTGAAAGTATATACGTAATCGCATGTGACAGCTTACGTACATATCCCTCTTTCTAGCTTAAATGTTAATTGCTTAAATTGCTCGATGCATCATTCGCTTTCCTACATATATGTGCTAGAATCTTATTAATTCATTCGATTCTTTATTCACCTGAGAATTCGCCCGCATTAGCACTTGTGCTCGAATTCACTTGATGTACTTGTGGCTCAATGATCTGTGCTATTCAACGGTAAACTGTGGTCGGCGCTTCGTGTTGCCTTCTTAAATTCGCACACCATTGGAATTTATTTAATAACGGTTATCAGGACGATTGATATGCGAAGCCTAAGGAATTATCTCGATGATAATCCGCTATAGGCTAACGTACATACTTGCCAAGTTCTGTGTTGATGATGATTTACTTACTGATGTATTTGGTGTTTTAAGACAATCAGTTGAAAACACTATGTTCTATGCCTATTGGGACTCATCATCTAGCCGTTCGTACTCCTAAAGAAATCTGTACTTCTCTCGAAATTTGAACTTTGCTTAACAGTCAAATATTTTAAGATTTAGCAGTTCAAGCCACAATAAACTTATGGAGTCGGCATTTCTACAATGATTGGTGATTGGATTTGATAGTTAACATGGTGATCTCGAGTACTGTATGTGGAAGTTTTTCATTTCCAAGTTGCTCACACCATGAGTGGATACTTCTTAAAGAAATTAGATTAGTAGTGGTTTTAGAGACCTGCAAAAGTGACTACAGACCCCGAGGGACAATTGCTTAATGGCAGGTCACTTGCGGGTACTATGAAAGCCTTACCTTCAACGTCGGGATCAGTGTAGTAAGATGGAATGTACTGCTTCTAGGACCGATCTTTTGTAATTTTTTCCTTCCATTGCGAGAAGGTAACACCTTCGTAGGTGTTGGTTTTCTAAGGAAAACACTTTACTAAACTAAATATCTGAAAAATATAAATGAATATATTTCTCTATACATTGACGTAACTTAACAAGTAACCATATGCATTTTATTAGGATTTCATAATTTATCATTAATTCAATAGTTAATCAAATAATCAGATCAACCATAAATTTCTTGCTTGAACTGCTTCAATACGTACATTTTGATTGGGATCATCAGCTAATTGATCTAAGAATGGTAGAATATTGACATCACGATGGCGACTAATCAATTGTTCCGGGAATAATTTTATAATGCTGCACAGACAACGAGCGATAATTAAACCTGAATAAGTTAAAATATTGATATTTCGTTCATTTTCCTGATCAAACATTACAGTATCGTTAATCTCCTGACAGTAGTCACAACTTTATCCTACCAACAGTATGTGAAGAGTAGTGATGCTACTACTTGACTTTTCAAATCAAGTAGGTGAAATGAGATTAGAATTTACTTGTTATTGATTGGAAGCTGAGGTATTTATAATAACTAAATCACCATCGCTCCACAAAAATGTATTAATCACATCTATCTGGTTAACTAATTATAATGTTCAATGTGATAATGTTTTTTTCTTTTAATTATCTAAGCAATGTTGACTACTTACATGCAAAGCCAGTTATATGTTGTTGTTAATTGATTGATTGATCAGTAGAGTTAATTTAGTCACACAATATTTCCTAATATATCATTCGAAAGTATCGAATAGAATCTCGTCGAAATATTTTATCGTAAATATGTTAACCGAAAGAAAAACATGTATACACAATACTGTATTTTAAATTCCCACTCCGTATTCACATCTTTTCCATTATTTGACATAGATGGCTATGAACAAACGAACTTAGTATTTACAATCGCTCGACCACTGAGTAGTGACTGATGTTACTTATTTCAAGTCCTCTTCAGTGCTGATCAAATCCTATCAATCAAGTTACAATCTGGCCACTAATCTGAATGACTCGATTGTTCCATTGTTCTCCCTTGTTCCATTCACGCGGTGGGGTTAGACAGGGTTGCCTAACCTCACCATCCCTCTTCAACTTTGCCATCGATGACATTCTGGAAACAGCTCTGATGAATGTAAGTAATGGTGGTGTGGATCTGTTGCCTGGAGAAAGACTTCTCGACCTTGAGTATCCGGACGATATTGTGTTACTGTGCGATAATGCCCAAACCATGCAATCCGCACTTAATCAGTTGGCAATCAGTGTCCGTAGGTATGGTATGTGCTTTGCACCTCCGAAGTGCAAAGTACTTCTACAAGACTGACAGGATTCTAATCCTGTATTCGCCCTGGATGGTGAGCAGATAGAAGTAGTCGAGAAGTTCGTGTATCTGGGTAGCTGCATAAGTGCTGGTGGTGGCGTGAGTGATGAGATCAATGCACGTATAGTGAAAGCTAGAGCGGCTTGTGCCAGTGTCAACACCATGTTAGCAATGCAGAGGTTCGGCATCGTGTGTTTCGGGCACAGAGACGATAATGCAATCGATGTCACCATCTTGAAACACCGACTTCAGTGGCTTGGACATGTTCTCCGAATGTCGTCCCAGAGAATTCCACGTCGTGCATTATTTGCCGACTCTGGGACTGGTTGGAAAAATCGGAGAGGTGGTCAGTGTATGACATGGTGTCGTGGTATGAAAGAAAGCTGCAAAGGACTTGTTTGTGTTGGTTCTTCACGACTCCCTGGTTGGGGTCTGAGAGATTGTGCTACACAGTGGCTAGAGACGTTATCAGATATGGCTCAGAATAGAAGCCAGTGGCGATCCTGCTGTAACCTTCTTTTACTTACTCCATAAAAAGTGGTTGTAACTTCCTTGACTGAAAGAATTCTTCTGGTTGTTTCTTTCTGTTTCCCCCATTATTATTATTATTGTTATTATTTCACTACCATACACTAATCTGTAGTCGTTATTGTTCTTTTTTTTACGCTCCTTACCCTCTTGTTTTTCTCTTCCCATTTCCATTGTTTTGTGTGGCGCATATATATTTGCTGCCCCCTTCTACCAATATTTATGTGTTTAAACTGAATAATAGATAATCCATTTCATCATTCCTTATATTTCAAATCCTTCATTAACATGCTAATTTTTCTGTAAAATCGTTTATAAGTGTGATTTCGTATGTAACAAGTGTCAAGTCATTTAGGTTATCAGTCAAGAACAGTTTTCATTTTAGATACAAAAAGCCTATTCTTCCAGGGTAATGATCTTGTCTTCTTATATCAACTCGTTTTAGGGTTTTAGTCAACAATTTTATGTTTTTTGTAATCAATACTAGGTCATATTACACCATTGCATTTCACTATGCCGACCGATATTTTATTTCAATTTATTTTCACGATGTTAAACTTCGCTTGTTCATCGAACTGTCCTCTATGATAAATTTATGGGGAATTGGAATGAGCAAGTATGTGTGTGTGTGTGTGTGTGACTAGAAAACTTCTACCCACTTTATGTCTAGTACGCACCCCAAATATTTCCTGTTATTTCATTGCTTCTCCCTTTGTTTCTCAATTCGTTTTTTCTCTATTCTAATTCAGTACCATGTTCGTGGTCATCAAGGTGTACACGGTAATGAAGAAGCAGATTCGTTGGCTAATATTGGTTCTAGTAAACCATTACCAAAGAAATAAACAAACGAGCAAACGCGCGCGAGAGAAATCGTTCAATCTTTTGTTGTAAATAGTGAAAAAGAAGGGAAATCTATTCATGTTTAATAAATCTATGCATAAATCATATGCCACACTAATCTTTTGTTTTGATTTTTTTATCTCACCCTCTGTTTGTTTTGTGAGTTTTCGTCTGGTTCTTTTTTATTTATATTACTGATTGTGAATCAAATCTATTCTTGTCATGTGGTATGACTGGTTGGTTCATTCATTGAGTTCTGTTATTGTGAAATATGTATTTTTATCAGAATGGGTTTTGTGGAGAATTTTAGAAATTTCACAGGTTGAAATCATGAGTCAGTTGAAGCTAGACCACCATTGAAAACCTGGAAGCACTGGACGGCCGTTTCGTCCTGATATGGGACTCCTCAACAGTGCGCATCCACGATCCCGCACCACGCGGGGCTCGAACCCAGGACCTACTGGCTTCGCGCGCGAGCACTTAACCACTAGACCACTGAGCCGGCATCCAACGGTGTTAATGTCTAACTTCAACCAATCCACGAATATGTATTTATGTATTTATCTATATGTATTTATCTATTTATTTATTCACACATTTACCATGTATAGAATATAGTTAACTTTGAGTTATATTCTAAGTGTGTGGGGCTATTGATACTAACTCTGGTTGATAAAAACCAAAATGTGTTGTGGTTGGGTTCTGCATTAATCGCTGGACAACCGTTAAGCTTGTCTTGCGCTGATAGAATTCTATCGATCAAGACGCTATGTGTGCCGGTCACTAGCAATAGTCTAAGTGACTGGGTATCGTTCGCGTTGTGTGTAGAATTTAGGCGGTTCAGTGGTTCGTACTAGTTGTATCTTGTCCATAAGTTCCGTCTACAATTCTGTGGCAACTAATACTCCTTGTGAAGCTCGAACTCGACGAGATCAAGTTCTTTAATGTGAGACGTCAATACTGTGCTATTCAGGCTGCGATTGAGATATGCACGTTGACTGACCACTCAGAAGTGGTCATTGTTGTGTTCTCTATTGCCCTGGTATGACCGAGAGTGTGGTGGACCCACCCTCCCTCTCGAAATGCTCTCACATGGCCAAGCGTACACAGCTTCTGCCAGGAAAGTCCTACTCACTCCCTTATCACACCACGGGTGTTGTTTACGAAAATGTGAGGACGAAAAGCGAATGTCCGGCGCTTTAACCGGATTCCAAATCAATGGTGCACATGGGCTCCAGTATCCTGAGGGAACAAATGGCGCATGAAGCAATTGTTGGTCACCGGCTACCATGGGACTGCATCTCCTTACGATGCTCCACTGCCTTGTGGATCAGACCTTTAGATCAAAGGGTCGGGGTGTGGCCTAAGAAAACCACCTGCTTCGGTTTGGGCACCCGGGCAGTATCACAGCCCTCACACAAATATGATGGACTGTCGATAATTATGGAAAACACTTTTCTTGCTTCGATTAATAATCAAACGATTCACATTATTATTATTATTATTATTATTATTATTATTTACTACGTCATGTATTCACTCTCTTTTATTCCCACTCTGTCTATCCTTACTTTTCGACTTAGACAGCAGCTCGTCTATAGTGGAAATTCGACTCTATCTAAACGTTCTCGAGTCACTGTCCGGTTGAAAATTGTATGTTACCATCGAATACGAGGACTGAAGCAGTTTTTCTGAAACCACGTGCGCCATTCAAACTGGCTGCCTTCAACGTTCGCACACTTATGCAGGTCGGACAACAAATAGGGCTGACTATGTCTTTAGAAAGTCTTAATATCGATGATTGCTGTCTGTCCGAGACCCGTATTCAAGACTCTGGCGAAGTACTACAAATTCGCTCTTCATCTGTCGCTTCGAAAAGCTTGTATTACGTGCGTTTATCCGGAGACCCTGTGGCATCTTCGTCTGGTCTTGCTGGCGTTGGTGTCGCACTAAACGCTAGTGCTGAGGTAGCACTAATAGATTGGACCCCCATTAACAGTCGGTTATGTGCTGTTAGAATAGAAAGTTCCATCAAAGTGAGAAGAAATCGGTGTGAGAAACGATGTCTTCTCGTCATCTCCGTCTATGCCCCGACAGATTGCAGCCCGGATGCAATCAAGGATGAGTTTTACCACCAGTTATCTGTTCTTCTCCAGAAAGTGCGTTCGACAGATATTGTAGTACTAGCCGGAGACTTGAATGCTCAGGTCGGGCGTCTAGGCACAGAAGAGAGTCGTTTAGGTGGCCGATGGGGACTCGTTGGTCTCAGGTCAGATAACGGGGACCGTCTACTGCGACTGTGCACAGTCCCGCCTATAAGCACTGGGTTTCTTCAGGCTCCTTACAACTCATCGAAGCCCATCGGTCTGCTCCGGGTGACCGTGAGTCTGATCACAAACGGTGATCGTCTACTGCAACTGTGCACAGACCACAACATATTTCTTGCTAGCACTAACTTCCGGCACAGTTATCGCCGATGTGCCACATGGCGTCCTTCCTCTGCGTCTCTGGCCTGGACTCAGATTGATCACATCGCGATCAGCTACCGCTGACGTGGTTGTGTACAAGACTGCCGCTCCTTTTGGAGTACCTATCTGGACTCTGACCATGCCTTGGTCTGCGCCAATCTTGCCTTACTTTTCAGTGGCCAACGAAGTGACCACCACCAACGGATTGATGTCAGCAAGTTGGTTGCAACTCCTGTTGCTAGTAAGTATCGAACCGAGCTAGCTTCTAGGCTAGCTACCACTCCACGGAAAAGTATAGATGAGCATTGGTTGCGACTTCATGACGCCATGAAAATGGCGGGAACAGTCAGTTGTGGGTTTGCGAAACGTCCCGCTTATAAGCACGGAGTTTCTTCAGGCTCCTTACAGCTCATTGAAGCCCGTCAGTCTACTCCGGGTGATTGTGAGTTTGACCATAAACAAAGGATGTTACATAATGAAATTGGGCAAAGCTTGCGTAAGGACCGAGAAGCATGGTGGTAGGAGCGTGTCAATGAGCTGGAAGCAGCAGCTGCATGTGGTAACTACCGGAAGCTTTTCCAACTCATCCGACTTTATGACTATGGAATTGACGACGTTGTTTACAAAGGTCTGGGAGCTAGAGAGTGTACCAACGTCATGGAATGAGTCAGTAGTTGTCCCTATCTTTAAAAAGGGTTCTCGTTGTTCCTGTAACTACTATCGAGGGATAAGTCTACTTCCGATTGCGTCCAAGCTATTGGCTTCTGTTATACTTCGTAGATTATTCAAAACCCGAGAAAGATTGACTCACGAGGAGCAGGCTGGGTTTCGTTCTGGTCGAGGATGTATTGATCATATCTTCACCCTCCGCCAAATGTTAGAACATCGCCATACTTTTCAAAGGCCAACAATCGTAGTGTTTCTTGACATCAGGGCTGCCTTCGATTCGTTGGACAGGACTGTTATCTGGGATTGTATATTGAAGAAGGGTGTGCCTGAGAAGTTTATTAACATCCTGAAAGCCCTATATGCAAACACCTCAGGCAGAGTGAGGGCATACAACCACCTCTCTCCATTGTTCCATTCGAGTAGTGGGTTAGGTAGGGTTGCCCAATCTCACCATTCCTCTTCAACTTTGCCATCGATGACATTCTGGAAACAGCTCTGATGAATGTAAGTAATGGTGGTGTGGATCTGTTGCCTGGAGAAAGACTTCTCGACCTTGAGTATCCGGACGATATTGTGTTACTGTGCGATAATGCCCAAACCATGCAATCCGCACTTAATCAGTTGGCAATCAGTGTCCGTAGGTATGGTATGTGCTTTGCACCTCCGAAGTGCAAAGTACTTCTACAAGACTGACAGGATTCTAATCCTGTATTCGCCCTGGATGGTGAGCAGATAGAAGTAGTCGAGAAGTTCGTGTATCTGGGTAGCTGCATAAGTGCTGGTGGTGGCGTGAGTGATGAGATCAATGCACGTATAGTGAAAGCTAGAGCGGCTTGTGCCAATCTGGGCCATCTTTGGCTCTTTCGTGATGTAAGTCTGACTGTAAGAGTTCAGATGTACAACGCGTCGGTGAGAGCAGTTTTGCTCTATGCTTGTGAAACCTGGCCTCTCCGAGTTGAGGACGTTAGACGACTCTCTGTGTTCGATCATCGCTGTCTCCGAAGGATTGCTGACATTCAGTGGCAACACCATGTCAGTAATGCAGAGGTTCGGCATCGTGTGTTCGGGCACAGAGATGATAATTCAATTGGTGTCACCATCTTGAAACACCGACTTCAGTGGCTTGGACATGTTCTCCGAATGTCGTCCCAGAGAATTCCACGTCGTGCATTATTTGCCGACTCTGGGACTGGTTGGAAAAATCGGAGAGGTGGTCAGTGTATGACATGGTGTCGTGGTATGAAAGAAAGCTGCAAAGGACTTGTTTGTGTTGGTTCTTCACGACTCCCTGGTTGGGGTCTGAGAGATTGTGCTACACAGTGGCTAGAGACGTTATCAGATATGGCTCAGAATAGAAGCCAGTGGCGATCCTGCTGTAACCTTCTTTTACTTACTCCATAAAAAGTGGTTGTAACTTCCTTGACTGAAAGACTTCTTCTGGTTGTTCCTTTCTGTTTCCCCCATTATTATTATTATTGTTATTATTTCACTACCATACACTAATCTGTAGTCGTTATTGTTCTTTTTTTTACGCTCCTTACCCTCTTGTTTTTCTCTTCCCATTTCCATTGTTTTGTGTGGCGCATATATATTTGCTGCCCTCTTTTACCTGTATGCATGTGTTGAAATAAATAAATAAGTCTGAAAAGTAAATATCTGTTAATCTACGGTATTTACAGTCATTATCCTACAAAGGGGATGTAAAGTGGTGAATATGGGCTCCAGGATTCTGAGGGAACAAATGGCGTATGAACTAATTGTCTGTGACTGGCTACCATGGGACCGCGTCTCCTGACGTTGTTCCGCTGCCTTTTGGATCAGATCTTTAGGTCGAAGGCTCCGAGTGAGGCTCCCTTAGAAAACCACCTGCTTCGGTTTGGGTACACGGGCAATATCATAGCTCACATACCAATCAATTGACTTGCGTGGTGCTCCTTTTACCAATGTTTATGTGTTCAAATCAATAAATCAATTCGTTTCACAGATATAAATTTGACCGGAGTGCACTCCAGCGTAGCAAACTCGTCACTTAATTGACATATTGATATCCCATATGTTCTACAAGTAACGCCAGTTGACCCAAAGCAATTGAGTTCTATTCGAGATTTCATCAAATACCAACCCACAAGGGCTGACGAGACTTCCAAGATAAGTGGACGCTCAACTAGGGCACTTCCAATAGCTTTACTGATACTTTCCCTTTTTTTAACCATTTATAGATGTCACAGATGTTGACAATCGATATAAAGCCAACCAAATCGTTTCCTGACCAGAAACCAGGTACAAGTGGTTTACGTAAACCAACAAAAACATTTATGCAACATGGGTACACTGAGAACTTCATACAATCTATTTTAAATGCAGCTGTTGGTGAATTGTTGAACAAATCTCAACCAGTTCGACTTCTTTTAGGCGGAGACGGTCGGTATTTTGTACGAGAATCATTACAAAGTATCATTATCCCAATATGTTTAGCTAATGGGGTGTGTTTCCATTTTTTAAAATAAAAATTGTTTGTTTATTGAAGTTTCGTGGGGTTTGGTTTAATTTCCAGGTTGAATTATCTGTCTCGTCGTGCTAATTAAGTATGGAAACTTGGGTCGATGCACGCTTGCACCAGGTTCTATGTTGATGATTTTAGTCTATTTTAATAGACTGATCCCTTTTGTGATACCATTAAGAATCCGATGGACACTGGAAAGCTCCTTCCTCCCAGTACGGGGTTCCACATTGACAATACCAGGCATTTACAACCCCATCAGGGATCGAACCCAGTACCTTCGAGTCTTGCGACAGATGCTCACCTATTAGGACTACTAGTGACTTCGAGATGTTTCTGAAGTCCCAGGAAGAAGCCGTGACTGGTGGAGTTCAGACACGACTGGAACGAAACTGATGCCAACAACTGTATTGATTGTCCATCTTGTTGATCGAAATTGAAGTTTTCCCATTGAACAACTACCCACTAATTCGAATGGTCAAGTGTCTTTGGGATCGATCCCTAATGGGATTGTGAATGCACATTACTACTGTGGAGTTCTGTACTAAGGTGAAACGGTTGTACAGGGCTTCCTAATTGTCAGTGATTTTCTTAGGTCGGTCTTTGTGATATGATAGGACAAATAGTGAGGAAGTTTACCTCGTGGGACCATCATACAAAGACCATTACTTATGCTTTTTTATTGTATAATTAGTAGACGCTTGTGTTGTTGTATTTTTATATTCTCCTATTTCTAAGCTTTTGTTTAATCTATAAATCATTATCATATGTCTTATTGCTTCAAATTTATCACCGTAAAGTGCTTAAGTCCTATTGTTGGATGGCACTACATATATGGGATTAAGTGTTTATGACCTTGAAGAAATGAACACCTTTTAGCAAGGTAACCGTAGACTTTTCTGCTAAGTTATTATAATTTTTGATAAATGGAGTTGAATAAGTGAATTTATCTCTGATTATTTCGAATTCTAATATCAATCATTCTGTCTGCTCATGATGAACCTACTAGTTTAGCCTTGGCTCTAAATTCACTAGTTTTGTATGTTCACTTGTAAATTGAGTAACCGCTTAGACTCATGACTAATAGATAATGCATAATTTATTTCTCACTCTTTTCTTAGGTATCTGAATTGTTTGTTGGTCAAAATGGAATCCTGTCAACTCCAGCTGCATCATTCATAATTCGTAAGCATCAATTGAATGGTGGTATTCTTCTAACAGCTAGTCATAATCCTGGTGGACTAAATGCAGACTTTGGTATTAAGTACAATTGTGGGAATGGTGGACCAGCACCGGAGAAATTAACAGACGCTATTTTTGCACAAAGTGAAAAGTTGACTTCTTATAAAACTGTTAAAGAACCATTAAATATTCAGTTGGACTGTATTGGTTCTACGAAATATACTTTATCCAATGGCCAAACTCCCATAGTAAGTAGTTAATTGTTTCATAGTAGACAATGCTATGTTTCAAACATTTTTGTGTAGTCGGTTTGTTTTGATCGATTGCTGCCATAACTACTTTTTGGTAAATCTGGCTTCAGCGTGTTGTTAGACTCCTGTTTTATTCCTGCTAGTTGATTAGTTGATATAGTCATGTTTGATTCACTTTCACTATTATTTTATACGCGTTTTTTTAATGAGAACTATTCATACCATTATAAATATTTCAAATTTGAATTACAATAACATTCAGTTTTGTTTTGATTAACAGACGTTTAGTTATTCTGTCAGTTCATTTATCTCTGAACTCCTTAATGCTCCAACTTAGTAAGCAAGTGGAAGATATATGAATGAAACCTGGAATTTGTATACACTATTCAGTGGATTCTAGGATTACGTTTTAGTTAACGGGTTCCAACTTCCAACCAATTAAATCGGAGGTTCGAGTTCTGTTCTTTAGCTAATTGGATACTAATCAACTATGGAGTAACACTAACTCCTACACAAAAGCTGAGTAAAACGTAAACATGCACTTGTTAAATAGGTTAAGTGAAAACAAACACTAAGCATAGAAATAGTTTGTAGGTGTTATATTCCCTGAGCTGGATGGTTCAGTCGTGAGGGTTTCATTGTTTCTTTTAGACAACACCATTAGGATTTCTTCACAACTGGCTAACAGTTTGTTCTGTTTACCTAGGAGAATTTGGCTGGCTCTTGTCTCTTTATTGTATAGCCGTCGTTTACATGCTTATGTTGGTCGCTTTCACCCTTAACCTGACCTCTGACCTTGAAGTTGTTTATCCTTTTTCTTACTAATTGATAGATTGGTTCAATCTCGATGTATTGCTATTAATTGGTGCGTAATTAAAGTGTTAGACCCTTGGAAATCTAACTTTATTTATATTCCATCTGTTCAATATTTCGACGTTATCATATTTGGATTCCCATCCTTTTATTGTCTACATGCAAAATTATGTTGTAGTGTTTTTTTTGCTAGATAGTGTTCATGTAGACGGTATACTTGTGACGTTTGGAAGAAATAATGGGTTTTTCACCAGCTCGGTATACTCAACCCACTAAAATTTATATTTAACGTTGGAATGCATTAAATGTTGACTAGGGGTTTTGAAAAAAAATGCAATTTTCCTTTAACAGTTTTCATAAATTTATTTATCATAGCTTAAATCACGAACGGACCTATACCACCATTGAATACTAGAAAATCCTAGTACCAGCATACATCCATGACCCCGTATCCGGTAATCGAACCCAAAACCCTCAGTTCTACATAATAACCCATAATCTGTAGACCACTGAGCCGGCATGGTTGAAACTCCACTAGTCACGGCTTCTCACGAAAACTCCAGTATATGTATGTTTAAGCTAATCCCTGGTAATTATCAAAACTGTAAGTTTTTTTGAGATTATAGAATTTTTATACTTTCTGTATCACGAACTAATCTTAGCTAGACCACCATGCAGGGTTGAGGATGTGCACTGCTGGGAAGTCTCATACTAGGACAAAACGACCACCCACTGCCTCCAGATTTTTAATGGTGGTTTAACTAAGATCAGTTAATGATTTAAACTATGAAAATACTACAATCTCCACCAATTCCCCTACACTGAATATTCGTTCGGTTTGATCATTCCCCTATTAATATTTATGAATATATTTTAATATCAGTTAGATGCCTATTATTTTTGAAAGCAAACATTTTGTTTTATCTTATTCACGATAAGGTAACGATCATAAGCAGTGTTTCTGATTATGCCGATTACATGCGCACATTGTTCGATTTTGATGCTATTAAAACACTATTGACTGGTTCACATCAGCGTGAACCATTTAAATTGCTTGTCAGTGGTCTTAACGGAGGTGAGAGAATTTATTATTTATTATAATAATAGTCACAATAATAATAATTATTATTATTACTGTTGCTAGGTGGTTTATTATTATTATTTCTTGTTTTTGTTGTTGTTAGATATTCGTCATCATAGACACTGTAGTGAGCTGGATAAATAAAAGATCACTGAACAAATGTCTTATCATAGTTTGTATCCATACATGAAGTTGGTACTTATGACGTTGTCTAAAGTGATAATAGAAGCCTTCCAACGTAACTATCTAGCTGAGAGTTTGTGAGACTCATTGGGGGTTTTCAAACATGACTTCCAATTGGATGAGATTCAAGGTCTTTGAATCTTACATAGAGCACCAGTACGTTAGATCTTTAATGGTCTACATATTCATGGCACTGGGGTGTATTTGTGTTTGTGTATGTGGCAATAATTCGATGTCGTCGATAATTATCTGTTTCACGTTCCTCTACATGGTTGAACTCTCAATTAGTCATGCGGTCTCTTACCTAGAACTTCGGAATTGAGTCTCGACACTTACAACTGTTGTTGGCTTGGTCTTTCGTTTTTTAGTGTGAGCTTATCAACAATGAAATCAATGACTTAACTCTTCCTATTTTCATTATTTCGAGGAAACATTTTTCTGAGATTTATTTCATATTTGCGGTTTAATCATCAAAGGAATTGTAGTTTACGAAGAAAAGTACCTAGCAATATCAAAGTTTCTAGATTATGCATAAATGTGTGTTTCCCATCGACTTTTCCGTGTCATAACGTCAGGGATTAAGTGTACTTAACTGAAAGTGACATTTCTTGAAACTGTTATGATATTAAAATTTGGAGCAAATTATTTAACAGTGAGTACTTCACTTTTACGTCAGTTGTGATTCATCAAGGTTTGTGTTTCACACCTTCCACGGTGTGAGCAGCCGGGAAGTGATAACTGCCTTCATACCTTTATTAGCACCCGAGGTCATCTTGTTGGCAATCGAGTACCTCCCTCACCTCTTAATAATTCTTCCACCCCCACGAATAACTCTTCTCATTCATCATTATCACCATGCGCCACCAATGCTAATAATTTGAGTTCACGAAATGTTATCCCTGGTATCCTGAAACCACACTAAACTACAGCTTCTAGCCGTTAATGTTCAAATCTTGTGTCAGATAGGACAGCAAACTTCTTTAGCTAGGACTCTAGAATCTCGCGCCACCAGTGTCTGCTGAGTCTCCGAAACACACACGGGGCCGAAGTACATTCATTCTCTGACCCCACTTTGTCAATGTAAAGAACCGACAAGTTTTACGTTTTGCGTATCTGAAATCCCCACTGCTACGTCAAGTGGTCTCACTAGTGCAGGTATAGCCTTAATTTTAAAAGCGGAGCAGGCTCTCCTAGACTGGATTTCAATAGACAGTCACTTGTGCGCTATCCTACTAAGCAGGACAGTAGGAACTCAAAAAGATTAGGACAAACACCGTTGCCTCTTCGTTGTATCTGCTTATGCTCCCACTGATTGTAGCTCAGACGAAATGTTGCTCCAAGATTGAATTGCGTCATCACCTGAATTAGTGATAGGGCGTGAGCCAGTTGAATACATCATTCATTCATCACGGAATTCTCATCATCATTGATGGTCTGGTGTCTGACTTAATCCCGGAGTGGATTCAGAAGTTTCGGTTGGCTTTTACCAGCTTGCGTTACTTGTGGTGTAGGCGAGATATCCGTCTTCCGACCAAAGGGCGAGTTTATTGCACAGCCGTTTGTTACGTTCTAATTAATGGATGTAAATTATGGCCATTAAAAGCAGAGAATATTCATAGGTAACTAGTATTTGATCACAGGTGTCTAAGAAGCATCGCTCGTATATTTTCGGACCATGCAGTCAACAATCTCGGGGTTAGGAACAGGATAAGGATGGTGGATCGATTGATGAGGTAGCGAATTCTCACCAACTGAGGTGGTTGGGAATCGTGTTACGCATGCCCAACCACTGCCCACCCCGACGGGCTTTTTTGATGCAAGAATAGGCTGGAAGAAAGCTAGGGGTGGTTTCGTCCTACGTCTGCAGCGTTTCAGGTCCGCGTCCCTTACGAACGCAATCTTCAGATTCTGGATACAAACCACTCTGGTGTGGCACGCCAATTCAAGCAACAAGTACAGCACGCCACCCCTGTTACCGTTCTCCGAAAAAGAACTACGTTGGCAACTCGACTATCAACGATCGCTTTCCTGTTCCGCCGATTCTTCCGTCCTACAATCGCTCGTCAGCCGATCAATCCCACGATTTAAACCGCTATTTATCGAAAGTGTAAACCCTTTCTAGCGGGTGGGGGGCTCCTGTGGTGACTCACTTTTATCATGAGAACACGACTGGTTTAATGAAAACAATCATTATTATAACCAACTGTACCAGTGCTTGTTTTAATGTGCTTTTGTTTATCTGTGCTAATTACAGCCATTTTGTGCTTCCATTACCGTCCATCATTGGTCCGTGGTTTTTGACTTTGTTCGCACGTACTCCATTCTCCTGCTTTCGCTTGTACCATTTCTTGGCACGATCTTGGTATTCGTTCAATACAACGAGATCGCCAACGAAATAAATCTGGTTACGTTCAACCTTCGCCTTCTGATTTCTTTGGCACGTGTTTCTTGGTAGCGGTGTTCATAGTCAACTGGGACTCGACGTACTTTTAGAGATAACACATTCCTCGTCTAGATTTCCAGGGGTTGAACTTCTACCGGGAGGTTCATTTGTTGACTTAGAATATGCCGATGACATAGCTCTGTTTGGTGAAGACGCTGACAAGATGCAGAGTCTTCTGACCACTCTATGCAACAATGCAAGCATGTTCGGGATGCGATTCTCTCCCTCGAAATGTAAAATGTTGCTTCAGGATTGAGTTACATTGACACCCGAACTAATGATAGGGAGTGAAGTAGTTGAGTGTGTCGACCGCTTCACTTATCTTGGAAGTCTCATCAGCCCTTGTAGTCTGGTGTGTGACGAAATCTCAGCACGGATACAAAAGGCTCGACTAGCTTTTGCCAACTTGCGTCATTTATGGCGTAGGCGAGATATCCGTCTATCAACCAAAGGACGTGTTTACTACGCAGCAGTTCGTCCCGTCCTACGTTATGGCAGTGAAACATGGCCGGTAAGAGTAGAGGATATTCGTAGGTTACTAGTATTCGATCATAGGTGTCTTCGAAACATTGCTCGTATATCCTGGGACCATCGAGTAAGTAACGCAGTTGTTAGGAAACGGGTATTAGGTAAGGATGGCAAATCAGTTGATGAAGTAGTGAAACTTCATCAGTTGAGATGGCTGGGGCATGTGTTACTTATGCCCAACCACCGACTACCTCGACGTGCTATGTTCAGTGGTATAGGAGTAGGTTGAAAGAAAGCTAGAGGCGGCCAAACCAAAACATGGCACAAGTCCATGAAGTCACTGACAAGTGGACTGAGTCATGTTGGTAGGTGTAGACTACCTGGTTGGGGACCACGAGATGATAGCCACCGATGGTTAGAGACGTTGAATGACATAGCTCAAAATCGTTTGCAATGGTGCAGGTGCATCCACTCCTTGTGTTCTCCCAAATTCTAATCTTGTGAATTCTTCATGTCCTGTTTTCTCTTCCCAAATTGATTTCACTGGACTATACTCCTTGAATAACACCTTCAAACCCTAATGTTTCCGATTGTTGCTCATACTTGTACTACCTCTACGACTATGGGATTTGAATCGACCACTGCATCTGTGTGCTAATGTGGTGCGGCAACTCGAACTGATGTACGTACGTATGAAGTTCTACGTTGTTACTGACTGACTGACTGAAACCAAAATGTGGTATGAGTCTATGGGGGCATTGACGATCGGACTGACGTATGTTGATAGGTATAGACTACCTATTATTACTATTAGGAGGCACCAGATAGGCATGCGCCACATAAATCGTTCGATTTGTGCGGAGGCTGGGATACTACTGGCGTGCACAAACCGAAGCAGGTGGTTTTCTAAGGGAGCCACACTCGGAGCCTTCGACCTAAAGATCTGATCCAAAAGGCAGCGGAACAACGTCAGGAGACGCGGTCCCATGGTAGCTAGTGACCAACAATTAGTTCATACGCCATTTGTTCCCTCAGAATCCTGGAGCCCATATTTACCACTAGTTTGAAATCAGGGTTTCCCAACTCCACCAGGTGGATCCTCCATATCCACCAACCCGGTTAAAACGCCGGACATTCGGTTTCCGTTCCCTCAATTTCGTAAACAACACCCCTGGTTTGAGAAAGCAGTGAGTATGACTTCCCTGTCAGTGGTTGTATGCACATAACCATGTGAAAGCATCCGTAGATAGAGAGCGGACTCTCCCTACACTCGGCCATACTGTTGAACTGGATCGTATTGCTAAGCCCAAACTACACGCATAATGTCCGTTTAATCATTGCAGCCAATGGTTGAAAATGTTGGTTGGTAGGGCTCAGAATCTGTCACAGTTGACTAAATACATTCACTCTTTGTCTTCTCTTGGATCTTTAGTTTCAAAATTATCTTGTTCTTATATCATTCAAATTCATTCTCGAACTGTATTATCCATAATTGATGGTATCTAATGATAATGATGCTGTTATTACTTCTACTTCTCTCTCTTGTTTTTAATCTCATTTTGTTTACTGTACAAATAAATCCTCAGATTGACTTCTCACCTATACGATGTAATCAAATAATACAATCAGTATCCGTTCGCTTAATTGTTATTATGTTATGCCACTTTTAAAAAGATGATTCTAAATAAAGTTAGAAATTAATGGCCAAATGATAATGTCATTAGTGTTTATTTGCTTCACACCCGACATGGTTGAAATCCACTGGTCACGACTTCTCACTACAACTCATTTTTAATTCTTTTTGGTGTCTTTTTGATCATTAGTAGTCTTTTCCCGCACAATGATCTTATACACTCGGGTCATTTTAATCTCTACCAAATAAATGATTTTTCCAATATTTTAAATTAATCGATCAATTTTTCTTTTTTTCCCAATATACACTAGAGTAAACATGACTATCTTTTTTGGGACACTTTCATACCACCGAAATTTGTGAAAGACTAATTCCGTCTTCACATACTTTCAATAATTGTCATTTGACAAGGATTATATCTTATATTACGCTAATAGATCGATCATTCGTATTTCCCAGTCACCTCATATTGATTAGTAATTGATTCTGATATCACGTAGCTATCAAGATTCGACAATCATTCATGTTTATTTACTCAAATACAAAACAAAAGTGAATCGAAATGTACCATGAACATTTTTATAGAGATATGTCGAACTCCAGTATTCTGTAACAACTGGTTACTTACTTACTTACGCCTGTTACTCCTCGCGAAGAAGCACAGGCCGCTCATCAGCATTCTCCATCCAACTCTGTTCTGGGCAATCCTTTCCAGTTGTTATTCATTCTTTTCATATCTGCTTCTATTATCCGACGCAATGTGTTATTTGGCCTTCCTCTTTTTTACTTCCCTTCAGGATTCCAAGTTAGGGCTTGCCTCGTGATGCAGTTTGACGATTTGCGTAATGTATGTCCTATCCATTTCCATCGTCGTTTCCTAATTTCTTCTTCAGCTGGGAGCTGGTTTGTTCTCTCTCACTAAAGGCTATTGCTGATGGTATCCGGTCAATGGATATTGAGTATCTTGCATAGAAAACCATTTATAAATACTTGTATCTTCTTGTTGGTGGTTGTTGTAGTTCTCTAAGTTTCAGCTCCGTACATTAGAGCTGCCTTGACCTTGGTATTAAAGATTCTCACTTTGATATTGGTTGAAAGTTGTTTTGAGTTGCATATGTTCTTCAATTGTAGGAATGCGGCCCTTGCTTTGCCAATCCTCGCCTTTACGTCTGCATCGAATCTTCCTTGTTCATCGATGATGCTTCCCAGGTATGTGAAGGATTCGACATCTTCCAGAGTTCCGCTATCAAGAGTGATTAGATTGCTGTTCTTCGTGTTGTATTCTTCGTGTTGGTTTTCCCCTTGTGTATGTTGAGGCCCACTGATGCAGAGACTGCTGCTACACTGGCTGTCTTTATCTGCATTTGTTCGTGTGCGTGCGATGGGAGGGCTAGGTCATCTGTGAAGTCCAAATCGTCTAATTGGTTCTGAGCCGTCCATTGTATGCCATGTTTTCCCTCAGATGTGGAGGTCTTCATAATCCAGTCGACCACCAGAAGAAAGGAAGGGAGAGAGGAAACAGCTTTGTCCGACACTGATTCTCAATTGGAATGCATGTGTCACATATTCTCCATGCACGACTTTGAAGCGTAATCCGTCATATGAATTCCGTATGATGTTGACGATCTTCTCAGACACACCATAATGTCGAAGTAGGTTCCTTAAGTTCCTCCTATCCACACTGTCAAGAGTTTTCTCATAATCAAGGAAGTTGATGTATAGTGACGAATTCCATTCAATCGACTGTTGAACGACGATCCGTAGTGTCGCAACCTGGTCAGTGCACGATCGATTCTTACGGAATCCAGCCTGTTGATCTCGAAGTTGGACGTCTACTGCACCTTTTATCCGGTTCAGCAACACTCTTTTAAGGACTTCCCCTGGTACTGACAGTAGTGTGATGCCTCTGTAGTTTTCACATTTGCTAAGATCTCCTTTCTTTGGAATCTTGATGAGGTGTCCTTCTTTCCAGTCCATCGGCACTTGTTCCTCCTCCCAAATCTTTTTGAAAAGAAGGTGAAGTATGTTTGTAGTTACTTCGATGTCTGACTTCTGTACTTCAGCTGGTATATTGTCGGATCTCAGCAAGTGTTAGAAACACAGAGGCTTCACACTACTATCGGTATCAGGAAAAGTTTTCGACAGAGTGTTGTTGAACCGAGTGGAAGATACAGTAGACGTCCAACTTCGAGATCAACAGGCTGGATTCCGTAAGAATTGATCGTGCACTGACCAGGTTGCGACACTACGGATCGTCGTTTAACAATCGATTGAATGGAATTCGTCACTATACATCAACTTCCTTGATTATGAGAAAACTCTTGACAGTGTGGATAGGAGGAACTTAAGGAACCTACTTCGACATTATGGTGTGTCTGAGAAGATCGTCAACATCATACGGAATTCATATGACGGATTACACTTCAAAGTCGTGCATGGAGAATATGTGACACATGCATTCCAATTGAGAATCAGTGTCGGACAAAGCTGTCTACTCTCTCCCTTTCTCTTTCCTCTAGTGATTGAAGGCATTACATACATACACAAGGGAAAAGCAAGATCCTCAAATACAACACGGAGAGCACCAACGCAGTCACACTTGATGGAGAAGCTCTGGAAGGGATAGAAGCTTTCACGTATCTAATCAGCATCATCGACAGACAAGGATGATATGATACAGATGTTAATGCATGAATCGGCAAATCAAGGGCAGTATTTCTACAATCGAAGAGCATATGGGACTAAAAACAACTGTCAGAATCTTCAATACGAACGTCAATGCAGTTCTATTACACAGAGGTGAAACGTGAAGAACTACTACAACTATCATCAAAAAGGCAAGGGTATTTATAAACAGTTGTCTACGCAAGATACTGAATGTCTGTTTGCCGGATACTATAGGCAACAACCTACTATGGGAGAGAAGAAACTAGCTTCCAGTTGAAGAGGAAATTAGGAAAAGATGTTGGATGCGGATGGAACATACATTGAAGAAATCACCAAACTGCATCACGAGGCAAGCACTAACTTGGAATCCTGAAGGCAAGGGTAGAAGAGGAAGGTCAAAGAACACATTGCGTCAGGAATTGTAGGTAGACAAGGAAGGGAAGAATAGCAACTGGAAAGGATTGTCTAGGACAGGTTTCGATGGCGAATCCTGATAGGTGTCCTATGGTCCTCCTCGAGTAGTAACAGGCATAAATAAGTAAGTGTTCTATAATTCACAGCCAGTCCTCATATATCAAATGTACATTTTCAAACTAAAAATGATCTCTTCATATGTAGACTCAATGTCAGAAATAATTCTATGCCTACATTAACGACTAATATTCAGATGGATTTATATACTTTTATATGTGGAAAAGATCTCGATCAATGAAGTCAACAAATTCGTGAGTGATATAAAATGCACCAAATAACGATATTGTTTAAGGGCTGAGATGAAACTGAAAACGTCTGAATCATTCCCACCTAGGGCTGAGACTCTGGAATACTGCGTACAGTTTAGACACGCATTGGGATTTTGTCACTTGCCGTTTTGCTTTGGAATATATTTACGTTATGTTCAAGTAGTGTTTTGATTTGAAAACCGATCGAGTGGAGTGAAGTGTCCAAGAATACTAAGCCGCATAAACAAACTTAGTAGTTTCCCAATTGATGCAATTTAATAATAAAAATTTTCTCCACATTACACACTATAAATAATATCTACTGAACGTGTAAATTTAACGCATTTCATCTTGTTATTACTCACGGCGTCCGAAGCTGATACTATTAAGCAAACTCCCGAAGTATAAGCCTTCAGCTGGTTACTATGTGAGAAGACCAATTAATAAGGAAGGATTTTTTTTGCGCTAAACTGGATCACATACATAAAGCCATTTCTCTATCAATCACATGCACTTGCCATTTTGGAAATTTTTTGATTGACAGAACGTAGCCTCGTCCATTAGCGTCTTTTGATTGGTTTACTATCACATTTCCTTGAAAATAAGTTCGGCTATTAGCGTTAAAATGATCCCCACATTGTTCTGGATAAAGTTACCACAGTACCTCTCAATGAATATAGTTGATATTTGATGTATTTTAATGGCTCTTTAATTTTTTCATCATTCCTTCTTTCATACGATATATATACGTATAAAGTCATGGGGCCTTACATTCATGAGATATTATGCAATCAACTTGGATTAAATTCAGAGTTAGCTATTAAATCTCAACCACTAGAAGATTTTGGCGGTGGTCATCCTGATCCAAATTTGACTTATGCGGCAGATCTTGTCCAAATGATAGTGGCTGACTCATCAATTGCAATGGCAGCCGCTTTTGATGGTGATGGTGATCGAAATATGTTGATTGGTCGACACGGTTTTTTTGTATCACCGTGTGATTCGTTAGCTGTGATTGCAGATAATACAGATTGTATTAAATATTTTCAAGAGAATGGTGTTCATGGATTTGCACGAAGTATGCCTACCAGTAGAGCACTTAATCTGTAAGTTTTGTTTGTCTTATGCCTATATAACTGGGTTATATCAACTCCATGTGATCGATTTCAAACCATGAACCTTCTGGGTTTGTTAGTCATTAACGTGAATATCAACACATGAATGTGCCAGGGACATCCAGCTGAATAGGGTGAAACACGCTTGTTAGGTGTACTAAACGTACTAAAAGGCTAAGAGCTGTGTCAGGCCAATCATCTTTCGATGCACCTATGACAAATAAATTGATCAATTGTAGCGGGACTATAAAACCTCAATAATACATTCATACTCGATATATAATTTCGCGGTTATCTGGGCTCAGTAGTTCAACATTAAGTGGTCGGAAGTAGTTGTTGACAGGATGACATGACTTAGTATTTATAGCCTGACAAAAATAAGCTACAGACATGTGATGTGTAGAATAGGCATAAAGACACATACGCTCATATAAAAATACTCAAAGTTAATAAGCGAATAATTGACAAAGTCAAAATGTGACTCAAGAAGAATGAATAAACTGGTCTGTCTGGAAGTTAAAATAACCTATTTCGGCTTGACATAGTACTAGACACTACAAGTATATCTGCTGTTCAGTCGCTTAAACTAGTGACCATAGAATGATGCATTGGTATTTGAACTGACAGATAGTAGTTTTGATTCTCAATACCATCATGCTGACATATCCATGTGATTAGTCCAATATGGAATGTAATACACATGTTGGATTCTACTGTGAGGCAGTATTCAAAATAATAATCATTTAGTGTATTATTTTTCTGTATAAATTCTCCCTGTATTAGTGAAAACCAGAGTTTAGTTGTATATCGTCTTTCTATTTGGATGTATTGTATTACAGTGTATGTAAAAGTCGATCAATGCAGTGTTACGAAGTTCCAACAGGATGGAAATTTTTCGGTAATTTAATGGATGCTAAATTATGCTCTTTATGCGGTGAAGAAAGTTTTGGCACGGGTTCTGATCATATACGTGAAAAAGATGGTTTATGGGCATTACTTGCATGGTTGTCTATTTTGGCTAAACGTAGTCAAATTGGTTTGCCAGTAGATGTCGAGTCAATTGTAATGGAACATTGGAAGAAATACGGAAGATATTTTTTCACTAGGTAGGTTACTTTCAATAGTAGTTTACAACATTAGAAGAATAATTGTTTATCAAGAGGAATTACACAGCGTTTACATATTACGTTTACACAGCCTTCGATCATCAATTTTCATCTCGAGGTCTATCCTACAATCCAAACTGTCTTCTCGTCTAGTCAACAAGTGTTTTGCTTACCTCCTGCTTTCAATGTACTGAAACTCTTAATCACGTCTGACGACCGTGACAACTTTGACGTCACTTTCCACAACATACTACTTACAAGCTATCCTGTAGGTAACGTCCTCTATACTCGCCTACTTCCATGGAATTGTTGAACCTAAAGTCATGCTGACCTCCGTGGTTCTTTTGTCACCGGCTCCGTCCTGATAATCCACTAAAGCCACTTTTAGAGCTGGCTAGTATCCACACATTTCCCTTTGTTGCCTTTCTGGATGGTATATACCAGTCCTAGTATCCTGGTAACTACGTTTAGTTCTTCCCACATGAACAGTAGATTTCGCGAGCCAAGTCCACCTCCTACTGTATCCTTTCGTCATCTACATTTCACCTTATCTGAGATCTACTTTTCCCCTTCATACTTGTTATAACTTGTAGCCTGTGTGTCCTGTTAATGTATAACGTAATGATACCGCCAGTTAGAGAACAGTGAATTATCGATCGGATCAATGACGCACAAAACCCTTGTGTGCAGTCTAGAGTACTTATCAATCCTGCTTCCTGCCTAGTCCAACCAGTTAAGTCCAGAACACCAATCTCAGCCTCTACAATATGAATCACTTATTTCAAAAATACTGGGTTTATATACCATCCAGACAGACCACATCGTACCATAAAATAGGAAACAACATTTGTACAAGATTTAGCCAAATGTGGCTGTGAATGTGGGAGATAGTAATTAATAAACAGGTCACAACTCAAGAATGGTAAGTCGTATAATAATAGTTCACAGGTCAAAATAAAGGTCATAATAAGAGGGTCATGAATATGAATAGTTTAGTTATTTAACAATTAAACAATAAAAATATACGCATACTATTGGTCCATAAATGGATCCCAAAATTTACCATTCATAACAATACTGTTTGAATCTCCTTACATCCGTCTATTGTTTCTGTCGCACATTTCCCACCGCTTGTTCTCATTCGTCCTGCCACTTTGTGAACAACCATCTCTGCTACTGCGGCCACGCTTTATTGTCCCCTGGCAGTCGCGTTCTTTTACTGTACAACGACTGGAACAGCGACCTTCTAGTGGTTCCTTGTACTGCGGCGCGATGAATTAGCAATACCATCAGTAGTTCTGTCTCCCCGGTTTCCCTTCTTGCTCTTAGCCAGTTCTTTAATGTGCGATTATTTTGTTCTGTTAGTCCTTTGGTATGGTGTTGTTCGGATTCCCTCGATATCCAACTGACCTAGGCACTATGTAAACTCGTCACTCTCAAAACATAGATCTCGATTTGTTAATATCCTTTTTGGAACGTCGTGGTTCGCCACAATGTGTTTAATTATTGCATTTGTCACTGTCCTTTGGCATTTGTCAAGAATCGCAGCCACGTCCATTAAACATATGGCGTACTTTTTCGTCACTAACAGGTACTGATGAGGACACAACTCCCTAATGTCCACCAACCGTAGACCGAATTACTGATAACGAACGGTTGTTCGTGGATCAAACTGCATTGTGTTGACTCCGAAAACCACTTCGGGTAAATGATCTTTCTCTGTTCATGATAGATAATCTACAACCATATTTTCCTTCCCCGGTACTTGATCCATCGTAAAAACATTCTCCTGTAGGCGCAATGACCATCGTGATAATTTCTCTCGAGGGTATTTCGCTGTCTCTATCCATTATATATATATATATATATATATATATATATATATATATATATATATATATATATATATAGAATAACGGGAACTACTGACTATTGAGGAACTGTCTTGAAATGGCGATAAAAGGGTTTACATGAGTGTCGTGGATTTCAGGATTGAAAGGAAGATAAATTGTGAATACGTCTACACCATTGTGAACGATTCAGAGCCATGTCATCTAAAGTTTCTAACCAGTGATCGTGGTTATTATGTGGACCTCAACCAGTTAGTCTGCATCTACCAACATGGTTCAGACCAACACCCAGTGGCTTCATGGACTGGTGCCATGTTTTGGTTTGACCTCCCCTAACTCTGCCAACGTACTCTTATAGCATCAGGCATCGCTTGCTGAAGTAGGCAATGATTAGGCATGGGTAACACATGTTTGGGGTGCGTTTCCCCCTCTTTACTATCGTAACCAATAGTTGGAGACTGGGTAACATGGATCAGAATCGATCGTAATGACGTCGGTGTTTACACTGTTTGTCTTCCCTTAAAACATGAGGTTAAATTACTTTATACCTTTCTACTAAATAATTCGTTCTCCCTGTATTATATTCTTTTATGCGATCGTGGATGTGGACTGCTGAGGAGTCCCATACTGGGATGGAGCGGCCGTCCAGTGCTTCCAGGTTTTCGACTCATGAATTCATCGATTATATCAGTACAATCTCCACAAAACCACCTTTCTGATAATAATCATCATTTGCTCACTAGTGACTGGCTTCAAGTGGTAATTCCTGGAGTTCTTGTGAGAAGTCGTTACCATTAGAGTTCAGCCGTGTCTGTTGTAACGCAGTGACTCGCTGAAGATAAATAATTTTGTTGAATATAAGAAAGGAGCTCATAATGCAAATATTTCTACGATTCATATTTTTTTTTAGTTAAGTTGGATACTAGCTAACAATGCGTCCTGTCTGGGACTCATCAGTTAGATGTACCTGCATCTTAATGTTGATGTTCACATCGGTACTCGAAAACAGTGCCTTTAGCTTCAAAAGGCCAACGCGTTATCCGTTGAGCTACTGAGCCTAAATAGTCACTCATTTTTGCAACGGAAGTCAATTGAATGTTTATACCTTCCCGTTGATACTAACTACTGAAATTGATCAGTCACTTTTGGTATATGTACATTCTGAGCGGTCTGCTTCGATATTATTTCGGATCCACCTATCCCAAAGGTGACTGATCAATTTTAGTTCTTAACATTTGCGGTAAATGTACGAACTAAATTCTTATTTTTGCCATAAATCTTAAATGTATACCTCCAACAATAAGTTAACATGATTGTACATCGTATTTCTTTCGCACATATGTTTAATATAATTATGGGTGTTTATTTTCAATGATGATGTCTTGTCCTTCCTTAATTTATTGTATTGATCTGTAAGGCTTTGTTTTTAGTATCGTGATAAACCCGAACATACATTCAATACAATGCTGGTAACAATAATCATCAGGTCATTCATTTCTATTTATCGATGGGTTTTCACATGACCCATTCAATGAACAAAATGGCTATTTATTTATTTACTTACACTTGACTGTTTATATCGTTGCAATTAGATAGTTCATTTTCTCTCTATAGTGAATGTCTCATATACATATATATATGCCTTATGTTTCATTCGGACCATTGTTCGGATAGATAACTAGAATATAATTATGCACTATAGGTTCAATCTGTTTTTATTCTCCTGATGTATAAACCCTCGTTATTCACGAAATTATGCTCTGGGCAATTGAGGTAATCCGCAACGTTTTCAATTCCCAGCGGACGTGTTGTATCCAGCACTTTCGGTCAATTTCCTGTTCATTTAGTCAGTGCATCTTACATATCAGAGAGTAAATTTCCCCGAAAATTTCTTATCAAGTGTTTGTGGTTATCCCCAACTGTTTGTTATGGAAATGTCAATGAAATACAGCCTAACTTGTCGAATGCAAAACCCAAACACAGTCGAATTTCGGGCCTCAATTGAAATGTGGTGAAAATCACACTTACCGAATATGCAGGATGTAATGCATTCATTAAACATAATAAAGGTCGTAAATAACGTTTGTTACAACGGGGGGATTTTTAATTATTAACCAAACTAAAACATTACACTTATCGTGTGCCAAATACCAGATAAAATCACAGGTCAATTATAACCCTTTATATTAATGTGTCCTGGTACATATGGGTATCATTATATCTCACATCAACAAACTGAGAGTAAAAAACTCTTTGTATTACTACTTTGTAAACCTTACCTTCCGTGAAATGTTTATGATCACTAATAACTTATTGCTGCTACTAATTTATGACTGTTTAGTTTCTCAGTTCTTATACATTCTGCCGGTTGAGATCTGTGATTCGAATGTTAGAATAGTTAAATGCTAAAACTGATGTGGAGAGCCATTCAGAAGTAGCCTAACGAAAAGGTCAATCGATGGCAATCAGAAGTGACCTAAAGGTCAAGTGCACTTCATTGGCTGTGAAATGGATCAGTTTCTTAAGGGTTAGAGTGGCATATATATGAATGAGTACTTGTATGTTCTATTGGGCAGCTCAATATACTTTCTCGCTCACTCTTGTGTTTGCGCTCAAATAGTCATTTGGGGGGGGGGATCAGCGCATAGCACATCATGTATCGGTATCAGATTTCGGACACCGCCTGTCACAACAAAATCGGTCAATCTACACTGTCTGTCAAATAAACACGCTAACTAATTTCACAAAGTTCAGAGTAACGTTTAAATCACATCACTTTTTATCTTAATATATTTATTCTATTCTGACCGTTATTTAAAACATCTGTAATAAGTCTTTAACAGTTACTCTCCTCAGTCTCTTATTTATTGAAATTTTTCTGTCTTCTTCACTTTTTCACCGCGGTCATCGCCCTCTAATGGTGATGGATTCTCATGGGACCATGGGTAATAAATACAGAAAGATAGAAGTGGAGGTATGTATAAAACACTGATTCGGGGTTCTAAAGAAAAGGTTAATTAAATGTAACAGTCATTTTCCATCGCTTAATAGCTAAGTAAAAACGAGTTGTAAAGGTCTTACAGACTCAAGATAGTGGACGCTTAATTGCAACCTTAGTAACTCAATTCTTTCATGAATTGAACAAATCTTCTGATCTACTGGTGTTAGACATATGAGTTGGTTCTCGACTGCCCACAACGTGGTCGGATACTTCTACCTATGAGATGTAAAAAAATGTTTGGATTAGCGGTAGTCATAAAGACCTGTTTATGTGAACGCAGGGCTATGAGCATAACTGTTTCGGGGCAGTCATACACCAACTTTTTGTGTGTTGACTCAGTACTGCTTAGTACTATTCAAACGGTGACGGGAATTCGTAGAGCAAGGTGAGATAACCTATTTTCAAATTTGCCTTTCGGTAACCATTGCTTTTCATATTGGGCAGGTTGTATCCCGACAGATTCTGGTTGTCTAAGAGAAGCACCTTACTGCATCCAAACTCCTTTGCAGTTAGAATTACGAATTCGCCCGCGAACCTCGAGTTTAATGGTTCTAATCTGACCCATCTCTAGCCGCTCTACTTGTTATAGTCAGGTCTAAGAAACGAGTTTGGGCACCCAGGCAGTACCACAGCCCTCACACATATCAAATGAGATCTGTGTGGCGCATATGTATTTGGTGCCTCCTTGTACCAATATCTATGTGTTAAAATAAATAAAATAAAATAAATAAGAAACGAATGTTCCAACCAATATAACTTGTTTGAGTTATTACGATGTTCAGGTCCATGTCATGGTAGCAGATGTTCATCGGTCAACAAATACTTTGTTTATTTAAAAATAACAATCAACTTTCTAATTCATCAATATCAAGTATGTAGAAAATCAAAACAAACAAATGATCCAAGAGTCAAACTATGTCAGTCAAAAAATACCAGTTACATTTTTTCTTTTATGATTGTCATCCTTGTTGTAGATACGATTATGAAAATTGTGAATCAAGTCAAGGTGATGAAATTATGAATGAATTAAAGAAATTAATTGACAATAATAGAATATCAGGTCATGTGTACACCACTGTCAGTGGACGACAGTTCGTTTGTGATTTTTGTGATAATTTTTCATATGTGGATCCAGTTGATGGAAGTCACACTGCAAACCAAGTATGTGAAATTATATATTAACATAAACATAATCTTATGATTTCTAATTCAATTTTTATATCATTGATGTTCTAACGTCGACATCAGATCAGATTCAGTAAAGGTAATTGCCTGTAACGAAGTGATTGAGCGAGAAGTGTCCTTGCTCTTAAATCTTTTGATTTTTGGCAAATAGATTGCATTTTCGATCTTTGAAATTCCCAACAATACAAATCTGTGACCTCCACTTCAAGTTTTGCAAAGAGTATAATTCTATCCATTTCCTAAGTAGTGGCATAATTATTAAATCAGTCAGTGAGCTTCCAACCATTATTAGGTTGAGCGTGTTCAAATACTACTATATGTATAAATTGTTTAATGAGTTAGACAGCTGGATGATATCTTTGTATGTATCAGATAATAATGGATGTACGTACAACGTATATATACATCCTTTTTGTATACAAGGTAGGGAAAGAGGGGAAATATGAATTTGTTTGATGTTTTTTTTGAGTTCTCAAATAATTATAATTCCTAATATATATGATCTGTTCACTTATGTACATTGACACCATCATCAAAATATTAGACGTGAATAAAATGTTAAATGGTTTCGGTAGCATTTTGCATTCATTGAGTTAAATATTGCTCAATTAGATAGAATAAGAAATTTTCATGAATTTTCTAAACGTTAACATGACGACACTAATCGTAAATGCAATCTCTTATATATTGATTTTACACACACTTGATCATTGATTAGAAAGAAGTCATATGTACGAAATTGACATAATTACATGGTACATTTCATGCTGAACATACTTCACGTTAATTCAATACAAAGAATATTATATCCTGAATAATCATCGTCATAATTCTTCTAAATGAAGACCTTCGAATTCCCAGGGCAAAGTTTGAATGGTTTCAATTATTTTTTCTGGTTAGCGTTTTTTAGCGAGTTAGTTTTCTACGGGATGGAGTCGCTAACCCCATACCTAACCCTCCTCCTTTACCCGGGGCTTGGGACCGGCAGCAGCCCCAGAGGGGATCCAGGCGCAGTTGAGTAATTACCACACTGAAATTAAAACAAATATTACAATGAGTAATTATCACATTGAATTAGAAATGGAAGTAATGTTGAATGAGATTCACAATTACTAAACAACGTTGTTTAGTCTTTTCGTCCCATCATACCACTTCTCGTTTTTAATTGAATACGTAGGAGTTAGTTTACCGTAGAGGATCAATTGGAAGAGTTGATATTCTCCGTTAGAATCTCGGCTGATCGTGTTCCAGTTTGTTATATTTCTCTCTTACGGTTATAACCCAGCTGTTCCTATTGCTTAATATTCTCGGACACCGATTCACTCGACATGTCCCCAAATCAGAACACGGTTGAACAGGAAAAGATTATGTTCTAAATAACAAGGTTAAATGGGAGTAAGTGCAGTAGCGAAAACGCTAGTATATTTATAGTTTTTCACATGAGAAGATTCCTACTGTTCACTAAGTCTTGACTAACACTGATTGGATAAGATTTAGCCAATCAGCGTGCGCCAACACAGTTGAGTTTTGCAGCTTTATTTGAGAAAACTGACAGCCTTCTGCGTCTATGCTCTGCCCATTTGTTCACTGCATATATGATTCTCTCCTCCCACGCCACGAGTTACTATCACTACTCACTGTTAAACTTTTGTATTATACTTTTATATGTTAATCACCTCTAGTGTTTGCACGATTATCAGTAATATTCACTTCAGTGTTCCTGTGCGACTTCACATCTTAACTTAAGCATCTTTCAGTGTTCTTATTTAAATGACTAAACGGTATCTCATGCTCCTCACAGTGAGATTTGGTCTTAACAAACAAATATCCGTTGCATTATACCATCCTATTGTCAGCATTGCTTTATGAGACTTTCTTAAACTCTGTACATTAATGACTGAAATTAGTGTATGTTTTTGCATTTTTTACTCGTAAATTAAATGTCTTAAATGCATATAATTCTGCCTTAAAACCTTTTAGTCATCAACTCATCGTAATTAAATCACTATTTAAATTGGTCATTGTTACTAGATTCAAAGGTTTATGTACTTGATTTTCATCTTAGAATCGGTTAACTGTACCATTAGCACTGGTAATTGCTATGTTTTAATCGATTACAAGTTCACCTAGTCTGAAAACAGAACAAAGACTCTGTGACCAAAGACCAATACGCTAGCTATTCTGATACGTCCAAGCCCCGCTAACTAGATGAAGAAGTCCAAGTTCGGAAAAGGGAAATATATTCTGCAAGCAACCAGAAGCACGAACAATAACAACAAGAATAAATCAAGCGTATGTATATATACAGCATCAAAATGTCCTTAAGAAGCGTTACAATATAGCATACTAAAAAGATACAACGAACCAATAGCGTTTAAGATCCTCCCAAGTGGAAAATACGACATAAAGACAAAAGTGAGCGCTTTTGGCTTGAAGACGAGAAATTCAAATTTTTAAAATAGAATTACAAAAATAAGTTATTTACTAAGTGAATTCTGGGGATCTAACATCTCAAAAAGTAATGATACTAGTAATGGTATACGGTTGTAGTGAACAAAAACTCAGGTGGGCAAAACCAATTTATTTGTTAATACAAAATTACAGAATGTCTTCGTAAAATACGAAAACCACACATTAAATACTCCATTCGCTCACCTTCCACCAATTATCTCTTACAAACTTCATCGTTCCTTCATTCCTATTGTTATTACAATTACTCTCTGTTCACATTTCTGTTCCATTCAATTCTATATTCCTAACCTTTTCATGCCAGGCATCTCACTTCTGATTGGTGTTACATACTATTTGTGTCGACAGACATAAGTAACATACTGAAGTTCAGAATTATTCAATACTTGTTCAAAATTACGCGTGATTAGTCCGTCACTTGTATAACTGTAATTATGTGATTAACCCATTCATCTCGTACTTGGGTATTACTCATTACTCTAAGTTGGAATGATATATTATACTATTTAGTTGCCTGAACCGAATTAGGTGCGCAGTGTTCGAACTTAGGACTTATTGGTTGGAGGTCAAGCGCCTTAACCACTTATCCTTCGTTCCATTCAAGTAATGCTTATATGCATTTTTTTCCATAATAATCCTTGTTTCCGTATTCTCATTTTAACAAACATGATCTCTCATATGTATGAGAGTATGAGTTTCATGGTCTTATTGTCGTTTCCTCTTTTTATTTTTGAAAAAGGGTTTTCGCTTAATTTTTAATGATGGAACACGATTTGTGTATCGTTTAAGTGGTACAGGCAGTAGTGGTGCAACACTTCGAGTGTATGTTGACACTTATGAATCAGATCCGGCTAAACATACAATTGCTTCACAGGTCAGTCAGTTTTTTCAGAGAGATTTACAAGTGTTTTCATGGTGGTGTACAACATTGAGTGTGTATCAAAGTATTTGTGGTATTTTACACACTACCTCTAGGTATAATTTTATGATTTACCATCACGGACTGATTTTGTTCCGATAACTATTAGAAACCAAGAATCAGTGGACAGTAATTTAGTCCTAACATAGGACTCAGTGTCGTTGCACACTCATGACCCCACCGATGAGCTTCCATTCGTTAAGCCGTATTTAAAAAAAGCCTCAATCGTTCATAAGTAGAATGTACCATACACCAATCAGTAACATGATATTTTACCAAAATTAGACATAATCATTGAGATCGGTAGACATTTATGTGTGAAAAACTCAATCATGTAAATTAATAGAGTAATGTTGCAATTTATATTATTATTATTATTACTAATGCTAGTTATAATACGTGTGATTACATAGAATAAAGTCAACGAGAATAATATATGGGATAAAAATAAACCATTTAATAAGTGAAATTCTGTTGTGATGTTTATTTTCACTAGTGTTACTGGATGAGATTCATCGTTCTCTTCTTCTGTATGCTAGCTAAGATCAGGCCGAAAACCTTGGCCGTAATTACCTCTGCATATTGAATGAAGTATACTCATTATTTTTTGTTTCTTATGTAGGTTGAAGGCTTTTCTCTCTGATATTCATTATTGCGCTTTGTATAGATGTAACATTCCATCTTTTAATATACTATAGTGAACGAGAGCACAAGTGGGGGCAATCGAATACGTTTGAACTCCAAATTGCAGAATCCCTTAGTAAAATCTGAGAATCATACAGTAAATACTTAATTTGCAAAGTATCTCAAACCTGACTGTTCCTTTGCAAATCTCAATCAATCGTCTCAGATTTCAATGTTCCTTCAATTCCATACTAATTGCTTTCTGTTCCCGTTCTTTCCTTCTCGACCTTTTGCTTCCAGACATTCTATCCCTGACTAGCGGTTTATACTACTTATATCGATATAAGTAGCACATACCACATACTAATGAGCTACTCAGACACATCTAAATTACTGTCCTATGTACGAACAGTTGAAAAGGATCAAACTTATGTACATAGTTGACAATTACAAGATGCCTTAGTCGTGTCTTATTTACATTCCTCTGCCATGAAATAGGTTGATAACTGATACTCCCTAAACAATCGCAACCATATTTTTTACAAGTCATTCTAAAGTAGAACTGATTCTTTAGTAAGCTTTGCTTTCCATCCTTTACTTGAACTACATCCTGGTATTCATAATACGTGTTCTATATCCTATTATGAGTCAGGGCGCAGCAGCGAACTGACAAGTGCTAATCCTACGTATAACTATCTTTTAGTACATTTAACAGATGGCATAATGAAGGATACTTGTATTACATAAGCAGTACTACATAATCAATATAAACTCGAGAATATAGTAATATTTGTTGACTTGTCAATCACCCAAATGTGTATTTCAGTAGGTGAATATTTCACCATCATGGTGATGATTAATGGTGGATTTAACTGTTTATAATCAAGTTCATACAAAGTTTTATTCATCATAGGTTGATCTCCGTTAGTATATAGTGCTGTACAGTTATTTCGTTCTAGTACGGAACTCTCCAGTATTTTATGTTTACAACTCCACCAGCAATCAAACCCCAGTACATTCAGTTTTTGCAATAAACGCTTAACCGTTAAAACCCCCACTAGGTCGGTGCCCAATGGTACGATTTCGACTTCAATCCATTTGCAATACCACTTTATCGATGGTGGTAGTGGTCTTTCTTGACTTAAAAGCACCATTTGACTGTATAGACCGCAAGATTCTGTAGCACTGTTTGTCATTGAAAGTTGTACCTCAAAAGTACATTAACCTTGTGAAGGCTCCTTACTCGAACAGTACCAGTCGAGTCAGAGCTAATGGCGAACTGTCATCTGATTTAGCAACCTCAAGTGCTCGCATCTGCTGAGATCAACGGGTAATTAATGGTGAGGTTAGACGCAGAATATTAGAGAATGATGGTAAATCAGTTGATGATTTTGTGAATCTTCATCGACTGAGATGGTTGGCCCACATGTTACGTATGCCTGAACACCGATTACCACGACGTGCAATGCTAACCGGTGTTCGGGATGATTGGAAGAAAGTTAGGGGTGGCCAAACCAAAACGTGGCATCAGTCCTTGAAGCCACTAACTTCCAGTCTGAGCCATGTTGGTAGATGCAGACTACTTGGTTGGGGTCCGCGTGACTATCGTATCCAATTGTTGGATACTCTGGATGACATGGCTCTGAATCGATCACAAACCTTTCAACTAAACCATGTTATTATTGTTCTGGATACTCTGACTCCAAATGTTAGCGTTTACCTGTTGGTTTTTTATGCATTTTTTGGAAGTATTGTTGTTTGTTGTGTGTAATCATAATAGTGATAAGATGTAATGCATCCTGCATTTATTTTAACTTTTATCATACAGGAATATCTGAAACCGCATATTGAATTAGCATTGGAATTATGCGGTGTAACTAAAATCACTGGTCGAGTAGCTCCAAATGTCATCACATAAAACGTCTTATCCTACAAAGCTGTTGATTTTCTACCTTTGCTGCACAACCCATTCATGGTGATTAATTAAACATAACACTGATGACTGTCATTCGTAGTCTTTTGAACATAGAATCGTATGCGATCATGGTAATTAAACGAACCTTGCACTCCTCCAATCAACAGTGATTCTTCTTATTATTACTATTATAAATTCTCCCGTATATTAATATTGTTCCCGTTGGTTAATGATTACTACATCTACCTTGTCGCTGCCGCTGTCATCCTTTTAGTAATATTTAGATGATAAGATCATAATGCATTTGCTCATCGTTTAAATCTTTCGCTATATCTATCCCCTCTGATTCAACATGTGTTTAAAAGTGATTTTTCCAATAGTTTATGCTGAATTATTTGTCCTTTTTTTTTCAAGCAAATGAATTTTTTTAGTAGCCTCTTTTTTTTAGGTTTCCTCTCTCATTATCTAGTCTTGTTTTTATTTTAAAAATAGTGTATTTTTCGTGCCTTTAACACTTTCATTTTTTTAGTAGATAATTTTTCAAAAAAGTAATTACACTCCCGCCTACTGATCAATATTACGCGGTGACACGAACAATCTTTTGGTTAATAATTCAGTGGTGCTTTTCGTAGACATTATTATTCTAGTAATAGACAATCGGTGGAAAGCACTGTTTCATATATGTTTCACGCTAGTCAATACTCAACAACATAGTTTATTTGTAATTTTTTGTGGGAACGTGGGTGCTTTTCCCATGTATTTCGATGCTATATCATTCAACACCGAAAACATCACCAATGAGCTATATGGGACGCCAGGATCCACCTCCTGTAAGTCCAGGATATTTGTGCTAAGTTATCACGCTTCGTGTTTCTTAGTCATGATTTCTGACCGAATTCTACTGAACAGTACAGGTGTACGATTTTTATTGAAAAATCGGGTTTACATCATAACCTTAGATTCCTATTTAAAGGATGAAGGCTAGAAATACTACTATTGCCAAAGACCAATTATCTAAACCAAAGTAGATCTCATCATAATCAAAACTGAAATTCAGTCTATGAAAAACAGAGACTCTTCATTCTTAAAACAACATTCTAGAACAAATCAATCATGAGCTTTTTTCAAAACCCTGTCGTCTAAAGTTTTCGTTCAAATCAAAAGCCTTCTCACAGTAAAAGAAGTTGATATATAGTGATGAATTCCATTCAATCGATTGTTGAACGGCGATCCGTAGTGTCGCAACCTGGTCTGTGCACGATCAATTCTTACGGAATCCAGCCTGTTGATCTCGAAGTTGGACGTCTACTGTATCTTCCACTCGGTTCAACAACACTCTGTCGAAAACTTTTCCTGATACCGATAGTAGTGTGAAGCCTCTGTGTTTCTAACACTTGCTGAGATCCGCTTTCTTTGGTATCTCGATGAGATTTCCTTCTTTTCAGTCTGTCGTCACTTGTTCTTCCTCCCAAATCTTTATGAATAGAATGCGGAGCATGTTTGCAGTTACCTCTATGTCTGACTTCGATGCTTCAGGTGGTAGATTTTCAGAGCGTGCTGTTTCCCCACTCTTGATTTGTCTGATGGCCATGTTGATTTCCTCGACCGTTGTGGAATGACATCTATGGGAAGGTCTGTGTATTTTGCTTCGATGTCTGGTGAGTTCAGTGAGACTGATCTTCTCAAGAGTTCTTCAAAGTGTTCTACCCATCTGTTCCTCTGTTCCTAAATCTGAGTGATTGGCATGCCTTCTTTGTCCTTGACCGGTCTCTCTGCTTTACCATATTTCCCTGACAGTTTCTTCGTTGTATCATATGGTTGTCTCATATTTCCTTCTCTTGTAGCTTTTCCCCTCTGTCATTGCTAGGTCTTGCACATATTTCCGTTCGTTGGCTCTAATGCCCTTCTTCACTTGCTTGTTTACTTTTGTGTATTGATTGTGATTCCCTTCTTCTTTATTTTGAAAAATGCTTTGATGATCCCGGATCCATCAAACTCCCACCTTTTAAGCGTTTTTCGTGCTTCTTTGGACAGCATTAGTTCAACTCACTGCGTGTGCGAAGTACTTACTTCTTCATGACCAGAGTACAACAGCATCTCTCCTGAATCCAATTTTTTCTGTTCAGTTTGGGTCCAATGGGTTTCGCTGATTCCGAGCACCGTTGAGTTGTATCTCCTGATTTCCGTAGCCATTTGATTAATCCTCCCGGGAACTACAGCAACCCTAGAAGAGCTACAGGTGTAGTTGCATACAAAGTTAGACACCTGAATTGTTCCTCTGGAAAGAAGCTCAATTTAAAAGTTTTGCATTGGTTCCTAACAAATGTAGCATATGAAACAAATTCTTCTTCAGGTCTTTTATCAATTCTAAGAAAATTATATCGCAAGTTAAATAAAGAAGTCTGAGTAGTGAAAATCTCTGTTAATTTTTGTACACTGCGCGGCAGTCCGTTCTGTTTTACTTTACGGCAGCGAAACATGGCCATTAAGATTAGAACACACTCGTAAGCTATTAGTATTTGACCACAGATGCCTTAGAAATATTACTGGCATCTTCTGGGATCACCGGGTAAATAATTGTGAGGTTAGACGCAGGGTATTAGGGAATGATGGTAAATCAGTTGATGAGGTTATGAATCTTCATCGACTGAGATGGTTGGCCCACATGTTACGTATGCCTGAACACCGATTACCACGACGTGCAATGCTAACCGGTGTTCGGGATGATTGGAAGAAAGTTAGGGGTGGCCAAACCAAAACGTGGCATCAGTCCTTGAAGCCACTAACTTCCAGTCTGAGCCATGTTGGTAGATGCAGACTACTTGGTTGGGGTCCGCGTGACTATCGTATCCAATTGTTGGATACTCTGGATGACATGGCTCTGAATCGATCACAAAGATGTTGGTGTTTACACTGTTTGTCTTCCCTTAAACTAAGAGATTAAAATCGCTTCACATCTTTCTTTCTACGAACCAATGTTTTACTTCTTGTACTATATCTCTATATGCAATTATCTCTTATATATTACCACCTTTGACCTAACCACTGCTATGAATCCGGTGTTCATCTTGTTGTACTGATGCGGTATGGCAACCTGGACCGATGCACATATGAGCCTGGTCCTACGTTGTAGCTGACTGACTGACGTTTGTACATTAGGATCAAAAGAAAAATGTTGGGCTTTTTTGGCAAGATAAGATTTGAGTATCTTTTATGTTCAGTTACTCCAAGTTTCTGAAGTAGATTTCTCACCTTCGAAGTGTTACCATGATGTGTAAAATCATTTTGGAAAATTTCTTGATATCTCTTGAACCATGATTGAAATGTGATACCTGTGCCAGGATCAGAATGAAACTCGTTCATTGTATTGATTAGTGATTCGGTAGTTGAGTCCCTTGATTTGGACACCTTTGTTGAGTTTTCTTGATTTGACAACATTTGTATTATCATTTGATCATTTTCGATTGTGATGGTTGAAATTTTTTGTGGCTGCTGCAGAGTTGACTTAAGCTAATCTGCTGAAATAGAAATTTTGAAATTTATTTTCGCGTGGGTTTGATGAAAATAACGTATCCAGTAACTGTTGTGATGAGTTGTGTCCGAAATCTGATACTGATACGCGGTGTGCTATGCGCTAACCCCCCAAATGACTATTTGAGCGCGAACATAAGGCATAATACTCAAACGTGTGTTTTTATAACTAAAGAGCATTACTGAAATACCCATTGATTGTTTACTAAGGAAAGTATTTTACTTGGAAATGGTTACTTGTTGTTCTTATTGACATTCCTGAATGCTAAAAACAATTCTAGAGCATATTTTGTGGGTTTTTTCAAAAGGAAAATCTAGATATTTTATCTCAGCCGAATTCATCCTTCACATACATCATATTTAGGTTAGTAATAAACAATGTACAGCTGAATGGCACTGAACATTCTATTCATTCTTATTTGAGACTATTCAACTGTGTTCATACATAAGCATTCAGGTCTTTTAGTGACTACAGTACCTTAAGATAATTGAGTTGGAATTCAACGGACCAAATTTCTAACATAATCCGAGTTTTGAAAAAGAGTGCTTAATTTGTACTATAAAATGTCTGTTTTCACCGTGTGGTGTCATAATTCCTGTAAATGAATATCCTTGAAATCGAATGGATGAGTTTAAATTGTTTATTTGTTTATTCTGGTTCGCATTTGTTTAGCAAGGTTGTTTTCTACCTGATTGTGTTGCTGATTACAATCCCATCCTTCCTCCTATATTTGGACTTAGGATCTGCTGTTTATACATTTTGAACCCAACAATATTACACTTGCTTCTCAAAGCAAAAGAAATGGACAGTATTTCAGTCGTACCTCTTTTGCATTTCAAAGAACGTACTTTGATACCTCAACCCTCAGCTAAGTAATCCATTGTTTTTAGTTCTATATTCTATGTTCTGGGGAAACATAATTCAGTAATTTTTTTACAAAGGATCTTTGATTTCCAAATTTCTGACTTAATTGTTAAAATATTGTCTAGTATGGACCAAGTAATTGGTCCAACCAATTCTTTATTGCTAGATTGACTTTTAGAAATGGATGATTGCCATTGTATTGTTTCTACCATTGATTATTTTCGCTTACGGATTCCTGAAATGTCATCGTGAGTCCGTGACCGGTGAAAGTCATACTTGTCAACCATGAGTCCGATTTCACCAGTGGGAAATGGTAATAGTCTTGTAATATTGAAAATTGACAAGAGTCAAACATAAGTAAAATAATATATTTTTAATATGCCGATGAGTAGAAAATTAGATTTTCTAACGTTTAGTGACTCAGTGTAAGCCAATTCTCCAGAAAATAAATAACCAGAACAAAATTATTCTTAGTTTAAATAATACAACGAAACGACGCAAGAATATTATGTGCGATCAATCAAAACAGGTCTGAACAAGTTAATGTCATGTCATTTCGGTCTAGGTGATTTATAAGCGACATGTATGTAAATTTGTGTGTTTATGTGTGCAAGGTCAGGGATGAGAAAATGTGACCTTTATGGTGCGAAAGGATACAGTTTAATTTGCATATACGATAACAGTACGAAATGTAAATAATGTCAGATATGGTAGCTTGGATAGGTAGTCCAAGTCGGATGTATAGTTAGAGTTGAAAACGTTAACTACTCAATGCCAACTCAGTAATGTCCATGATAAGCACTCCATTCGAGTCCTGAAAGGTGTTGGGTTCATTTCCTGGTGTGGTCGTGGTCCCCAAATGCCCTGGTACGGCCGAGAGTTAGGAGAGTCCGCTCTCCCTCTCGAAATGCTCTCGAATAGCCTCTTCCAGGTAAGTCCTACTCATTGCCTTTTCTTCGCAGGGGTGTTTACAAAATTGAGAGGACGAAAAGCGAATGTCCGGCGCTTTAACCGGGATGGACATGGAGAGTCTATCTAGGGGAGTTGGAAGACCCTGATTCCAAACCACTGGTGCACATGGGCTCCAGTATCCTGAAGGAACAAATGGCGTATGAACCAATCGTTGGTCAACGGATACCATGGGACTGCATCTCTTTACGATGCTCCACTGCCTTGTGGATCAGAACTTCTGGTCGACGGCTCCGGGTGTGGCCCCGTAAGAAAACCACCTGTTTCGGTTTGGGCACGCGGGCAGTATCACAGCCCTCACACATATCAAATGTGATTTGTGTGGCGTATATGTATTTGCTGCTTCCTTGTACCAATATCTATGTGTTAAAATATATAAAATAAGTAAATAAATAAGTTCCTATACTAGGCAAAATTAGCTATCCAATGTTTCCCGGTTTAAAATGGTCGTCTAACTGAAGTAACCACATAAGGTAAAATTATATAATTTGTTATTTAAATCATATCGATATATGGCACTTTAATCGATTTTTCATTTCGATTAAATACCGATGGATCACCTAGAAGTTTGCATGTAGAGCCCGGTAGCTTAATTATTTAAGCACTGTATCTTTGTCTCAGAATGATATTCTGTTTAATTTATATCTGTTGAGACGATCAGTGAGTATCATTGTTCTTCGTACAATAATGTGTGGTTCGATGTTTCGGTGATCAGAACACTTTACTGTCGACCATTGCAGGTCTGTGTGAAACTCTTCTCCATCTAATTCGATTTAAATAAATATGTATTATCAGTAGACTTCACATAAACTGTCCTGCTATATATACACGTTTATTTATTCTTATTTTAAAAATTTTTACCACTTTGTAAAATTCTTTTTTAAATAAATAAATAGATTCTCGTAATGTTTTGTTCTGATTTCTTTTTCTCTAAGCTGTGTGAATCACTGTTTTAATGTTATAGTATTTATTATCGCATAAAGAAATGTAAATGATATTGATTGGTGATAAATAAAATATGGCTATTTAGGCATTCAGGCTCTAGTGCTATCAAACTGACACTCACCTACTAGAAATATATATCTTAATTCCAATTTTACATGCATTTAGTTAATGAATTACAGTATTATGGATTTTCTTTCTACCTTTCTTGTGTATTCACACAGAACTATTAAAGTTTTATTGTACCATCACCTTGATCTCAAATCACTGGTTTTCCTTTTGTTATAATCGTTCATTGGAATACAGTGGGTTTATGAACCAGGTAGACAACTTTCAACCATCAATTCATGTGTTTAAATAACGTCTCAGCTTGGTCAAACAGTCAGGGTATCAACTATGTTTGGGGCTGACGACTAGTCGCATGAATTCGAACTCGGTCATTGTGTAGTTGCTTTACTGTCCATAGAATAATTGTCTCATAGTTTAGTCAGTCAAATTCCAGTCGTTATTGTGTCACCGATTCGAATCCGGTCGGACCTTGGTTTGGACAGTCAAAGTGTATCATACTATGCCTGATGCATAAAATATATGACTTCAAAATAGATACATATGTGCATATTCAATATCATTCACATTGGTTAGTTTTCCATAGTTATTTGACATAAATTAATTGTAATCATTTCAGCATTTCCATAACTGACCATACAGTCATTTGACAAATTCGTAGTAGTCTGTTTATCATATGAAAATATTAAATCCTAATAAAAGTATTGCACGATATCTTGAATTGACTGAAGTTAGACATTAACACCATTGGACCCACCTCTCAATAGTTTAGGGATTAGGGATTCGCGCACGAAAATTAGAGTCCTAGGTTTGATTCTCGGTTGCGGACCATGTTGTGGGTGCATACTGCTGAAATGTCTCATTCTAGGATGAAATCTCTGTTTCGTACTTTCAGGTTCTCAATGTTGATCTAGCTCAATTCAGTTCGTGATGTAAATTGAAAGTTTTGCAATCTCCAAAAACTTCTTATACTTAAATATAACAACATGAAGTTTCTGCCATTTGGATTTTATAAAATTCATAACTGTTTAGTAAACTA